TTATTATCTTTTATATTTAGTTCATCTTTTCATTCTTAGACACTACTATCAATAACCACTGACAACAACGATGGACAAAAAACTGAACACTTGGGCCAAATAAACAAATAGACATATAAGTGAGAATAATATGATCTTTCAAATTATTGTTTTTTTGGATAAATTACAAATACACCCCCCCTCAGGTTTCCTTAAAATACGAATTGGCCCTTGTGGTTTGAAAAATTACAAATACTGCTCTGTCAGAATTTTTTTATTTAACATAATTAATTGAAAAAGTGAAATTTATAACTGTTCACCTATACAATAATAAAATTATCTGAATTATTAATTGAAATACAATTTTAACATTATGAAAAACTGTTAATTAACTTGATAATTTATTAATAAAAAAACCTATTTGTCATGAAATTAAAAACCTTGGGGGCATAATGTAATTTCTAAAACCACAGGGAATAATTTGTAATTTAAGTAAACTTCAGGGGCGTGTTTGTAATTTACCCTTATTTTTTTGTCACCAAAAATATAGAATTTGGAGCTATTATTCCAAAATTTCTAAAATTTGACTTATGACCTGAGCTCCCTCAGATAAATTATAAATGTCTTTAGAGATTTGTCAAAAATAATTCTCTCCTTATATTCTAGAAATTACAAATCCCTCATTGTGAGAATTTATCATTCACCTCAACTCACCTAACAGAAAAAAAATAATAAAATTATTCAAAAGAAAATATTTGTGACCCCTAAAAAGTCCTTTAATTTAAGTCACAGTGATATGGCATGATAAGTGTCAATTTTTTATTTATCACACACTTAACTACATTGAACCAACTCTATTACTATATCATTGTGGGTGAATTATTGTGAATCTTTAGTATTTCTGATTACCCAAATATCCTCTAGTAACAAAATGAAAATTATGATACGACTTTCATTTCAATCCATAATTCACTAGATCATTCTCTTCATGCAATTATAATATTTTCTGATTATTCTTGGCGACACACCAAATACTTATAGGCAATAATTGTAGTAGTGTTGATTGAGAGTGGGAGAGAATAGTGTTACTAGTTGAAAAAAAATGAGGAATAATGAAGGCAGAGTAGGACCAATAAAAAATAAAATAAGATTTTTAACTTCATAAAAGTTAATATAAGTATTTAAAATAAAAAAAAAATTGTTGCTTATATCATAGATACTGTTAGTTAAAGGTTGATTAATGAAAAATGTAATTTGTTATATGATTGAAAATCTCAAGAGATTTGATGTAATTTCCCGAATGTGATGGAATAATCTATATTTTTAATAAACAAAAGGTATATTTTTAATTTGCCAAATTTTTATTTTATTTTTTATTATGCGGAAAAGGAACATTTTCATTTACTTAAATTTATATTAAACTTAAATTTAAATAATTTTTTTAAAAAAAATTTCCTTCACTCGTGGTCTCAATTTATACCAAATAAAATTTTACTCAAATTTTTGCTTCAAATCAAAAAGACTCAAATGTTTAACAAAAATTTTCAAGATTGTTGTGTGACTCAAATTTATAAATTTGAATAAAATATTCAGGAAAAGCTAAAGATTGCCTAATGTGAGTTTTTTTATAAACATCAAATGTTATCTCTCTATTTATTAATGAATATAGTAAAAAAAATAGAATAAAGTAATAAAAAAATGTTTAAGACTCTTAAAAAGGTTTTTTGAATTTGATCCACAATAAAATGACATGATGAGTGTCAACTTTTGATTTGTCACATACTTAATTATACAATGCCTAACTTTTTTGTCACATCATTTTGGGTAAGCTTGTGAAAAAATTATTAGTTGGTCTTAGGACGCCACGTTGTCATACCCCATACCAATCATAATTTACCATAACCCCTAGGTTCTCCAATCACCCAACATAAATTTGTGAGATCTACTCCCTCCACCAATCACAATATTATTAAGGCACCACGTAACGGTATTCCAAAACTAACTAATAACTTCTCGAGTTTGTGAGTCTAAATTATAGATATATAATATTTCTTTAAAATAATTACGTTACTGTGTAATTGAATAGACATGCTTAAATTATAAACTCCATTGAAAATTTTTATTTGAGTAATGTATTGTGCTGTGTGATAACATTTGTAATTTATCTTTTTTAGTTTATAAAAAACATTAAATATATTTATATTAATTTTGATTAAAAACGAAAATAAAAATATATTTGGTATACAAGATTTTTAAAAATATATTTTGAAAATAGATGATTACAGGAGCAGGTTGTTGACAATTAAGAATGATAGCCAGAGGTAGTTGTTGGCCTTACGAGATGGTTGGTGGTAATTGAAGGTGGTTGATGGCTACAGAAATAGTGAGTGAAAGTGATTGTCGATAGTGAAAAAATGATGGTTGGTTGGTCGCCTAAAGTGATAGTTAAAGTTAAAGGTGATTTTCAACAAGAGTTGGAGGGCAAATGTGGTTATTGGTGGTAGGAGGTAATAGCTGGAAGTGATTGGCAATGAAATTTATCAATAATGTACCTCGTCGAGATGAGTAATAATTGGTTGTTGAAAAAAAAAAACATAGGAGGAAGAGAAAAAAATTTAAAAATAAATAAGTGAAACTTTTTTTTTGTGTGTGTGTGTTTGGTAAATTTTATAAACTATTTATAACTTTTTAAAACCAAAACAAAACAAGTTTTGTTTATAATTTTATAAAATTCTATAAAAATAAATAAAAAATTATTGATATAAACGTTACCAAATATTTACCTATAATTGTTTTTGTTAATTGATGTAGAGAACCAGTTGAGGGCTTCAATTTCAGTACAACAACAATGTTAAAAAGATATCTAGAGGTATGATAAAGCATCATTTCATTGAAGAAGAATTATTTGGGCTTTGTTTGGTAGAGCTTTGGAACGTTAGTTCCAGGCTTTGATTTGCATACTGTGTTTGTTTTCGGTTTTCAAAAATTAATTTCACACTTATTTTTGAAAACTCTGTTCAAAGCAGGAAAATTTGGACTAATCGGTCGTCCCACTGGTCGTCCGGAACAGTGCAAATATATATATATATATATATATATATTTGCAATTGATACATGTTAATTTTTATATATTTAATAAAAAATATTTTCTGAATTTTAAAATTTTTTTATGAGTTTTAATAGAATTTTGAGTTGTGTATTTGGTTATGAGTTGTAAGTTTTTGTTTCAAATATCATATGTCACATCAAAAATTCTCCACTCAATTCAAAACTCATTTACCAAACAAAATTTTCACACTCAAATCATAATTCCAAAACTCACAAACTTAAAATACAACTCTATTCTCAAATCATATTTAGAAAACTCTACCAAACACAACCTATATCTTTCTGAATTAAAAAAACATCAATATTTCTAAAAAGATAATTATTTATTTAAAACTTACTTACTTATTCAAATATTACTTATTTATACACGTATTACTTGTTTATTTAATTATTTGTCCAAATGTTACTTCTTTATATTCTTATATCACCTATCTATTCATCTTTATATCCATTCAACTCCACGTACCACCAACTATCATTTGCTTGCTGGCCATCAATGATTTTTTGACGAGTTTTCAAACTCATGTTGTTTTATAACCAAATTTAAAAAATAAAAATCAAATCAAATAGCATAGGATAATAGTGGACTTTTCACCAATTTATATACTTATCTTGGTAATAAAAAAAGAAATCAATACTAATGTACCCATAATTTATAAGAAAAATGGTTGAGAGGTGCTTTAATAGTACGACTAATGATGTGGTAGTGGGTCCTGTCCACTAACTATAATTTTTTTTTTTAATTTTTAATTTTTTTTATTTTTTAAATGGCATGATCATTGTTGAATTTATAAACCCTAAAATACATGTGTCGGTAAACCATACTACAGTGTGAATGAAGGACATAAGAATAAGAGATGAAGGGCAAATTTGCAATTTGAGCTTTGAATAGAGGGAGATTAAGGGAGCTTCTATCTACACACACCAAATCCCCTCTATACACACACTTAATGATATTTAATTTTATTACAATTTTATCCCTAAGTGAAATTACTATTTTAGACATCATACCAATTCAAAACGTCTCAATGCACACATTCATCCAGACTTCACATCTGCTCCAAGTTTGTAGCTTCTTCCATTGAGCTAGAAGTGAAAGCACTCATTCACTCATTTGTAGCTTCTTCCAAGTTCGTAGCTTCTCAATGTACTCATTCATCATACATTAAGCTAGAAGGGAAAGCATTAACCTTCCTCATTCGTAGCTTCTTCCTCATTCATCATTGTTATGGAGGATTTGTCTTCTGAAAATCAGCAAATAAATGTTTATAAGAAACATAGCGAAGAAAATGTGAGTTTCTCTTGTTTTTTTTTTCCAGCATCGTTCGGATAACCAGAGTTGAATTATATTATTTTGTTCGAAAATCTACTACCGAAATAAGTATTTAATTTCGGAAGTTGTTGTCCGAAATAAGTATTTAATTTCGGAAGTTGTTGTCCGAAATAAGTTAACTTTTACAACATTCAACTTCCGAAATTTTAAAATGAATTTGGACAACTACTTTTGAATGAAGTAAAAAAAAAAAATTCCCATTTTATATTCCAAATTTGCAAATTGCATACCAAATTTACAGTTTCGAATTGAAAAATAATCTTTATAATGCCATTAAAAATTTGTAATGTTATACAAAACATGTAGGAATATGTGTCAACTCAAGGAAGTCAGGTTTGCGCGGATTTTATATTGGATTACACTACTCAATTCACAACTGAACAGGTTCACTCTACGAAATTATAATGATTATGTTTCGAGTTTCTCAACAAATGTAAATGTTTGATAAATTTATTTGACTTTGTAGGTATTCAAAAGTAAGGATGAATTGCTCAACTGGGTACGTGAAGTTGGAAAGAGAAATGGTTTGGTCATTGTAATCAAAACATCAGACTATGGTGAAGGGAAAAAAAGACCCAGGATGTATCTTGCTTGTGAGAGGAGTGGCCAACATAGAGCGACAAAGAAGTTAAACCATGATGGCAACAATACATCAAGAATAACCGATACGAAGAAGTGTGGCTGTCCTTTTGATATGAGGGCTCACAGGTCTACCACACATGATGAATGGACATTGACCGTAGTATGCGGATTGCATAACCATCCACCTACGGAGCACCTTGAGGAACATTCATATGCGGGGAGGCTATCAAAGGATGAGAAAGCATTGTTAATGGATATGTCAAAGAGCATGGTTCGGCCAAAAGAAATCCTAGTAACCTTGAAACAGCGAGATGCCCTCAATGTAAGCACACTTAAAACCATTTACAATGTACGCCATCGAAACAGGGTGGTACAGAGAGCTGGAAGATCACAGATGCAACACTTATTGGGTGAATTTGCCAAGTATAATTACATTGAGCGCCATCGATCTGAAGAGTCCACGATGACTGTGACAGACTTGTTTTGGGCACATCCTACCAGTTTGGACTTATTTCGGTCTTCCCCACGTATATTAATTATGGATTGCACATATAAAGCCAACAGATATTGTCTTCCTCTTCTTGAAATTATGGGAGTGACATCAACTGAAATGACTTTCTCTGTAGCTTTCGCATACTTACAGTATGAGAGGGTCGATAACTATGCGTGGGTGTTAGCTACATTGCGTGATGTCATGGATGGTTTTGTTATGCCAACAATTATTGTTACTGACAGAGAGCTAGCCTTGATAAATGCCATACAGAAGATATTCCCGAGTGGCAGACATTAATTATGTCGTTGGCATATCAGTAAGAATGTATTGACCAAATGCAAGAAAATGTTTGAGACACAGCAGAAATGGGAGAAGTTCAACCATGAGTGGAACTCTTTAGTGTATTCATCTTCTGAAATTCAATACGATAAGCGTCTTAAATCATTACTTAAGGAATTCAGTAGTTATCCTGATGCAGTCAAATACATTATGGATACTTGGTTGGTTCCTTACAAGGAGAAATTTGTGGCGGCATGGACAGACACGTGTATGCATTGTGGCAATGTTACAACGAACCGGTAAGATTACTTTTGTTCAATATGTTATTAATAAGTGCCATGTACTTGATTTTAATTTGACTTACATTGAATTGAACAGGGCTGAAAGTGCACATGCAAAACTTAAAAGACAATTGGGTTCATGTCAAGTCTCATTTCAGGCATCATTTGAGAAAACACACAGTCTGCTTGAGTTGCAACACACTGATATCAGGGCTTCATTTGAGAAAAGTCTAACTGTTGTGCAACATCAATTTAAACTTTCTTAGTTCAGAGAGCTACGGGGTAATGTGTCTATCTCTGCATTGGAGTATTTGCTTGTAGAGAGTAAGAGAGCCAATTCTATTGGTATTAATGTTGAAGCTTGTGGATGCGTCCTTCGCCACACTCATGGTTTACCTTGTACCCATGAGATTGCTGACTACATCAGACAAGATCGTCCTATACCACTTGCTACCATACACTCATAGTGGAAGCAACTTCATATCTCCATATGTAAGAAAGAAGAGGAAACGAAGGTGAGTTGTCATGCAGAAGTAGAGTTGTTTGTGAACAAGTTTAATGAAAGTGATAGAACCATGCGGTTGGAGCTTTTGAAGAAGTTGAAAGAGATTGTATATCCGGGAAACACTTTTCTTGTTGAGCCGGAGGTGAAGCCCAAAACCCGTCCTCGGGATCATAGGAAGATCAATGTTTCTACCCGTCGTGACCCGTGTGTATTTGAGTTGGTGCAATCTGGACATGATTCCTTCTCACCTAGGGACACTCAAATCACTACATTAGTTTCTACTCTGGAAACCGAGAAGAAGCGACCTGTTAAGGGAAAGGAGAAGGTGAATGTGAAAGGGAATGTATACATTACTAGAACAATGAAACCTGTTGCATATGTTGATGCTTTCCCTTCTGGGTTGAAACCATACATTAAGTTTATCAAGGATATAGCTGCAGATGGGAATTGTGGTTTCAGGGCTATAGCTGCTTCAATTAGTCATACAGAAGATGATTGGGCTCAGGTTAGGCATGATCTGTTGGGTGAGCTGCACACACACAAAGAGGAATACATCACACTTTATGGGTCCTATGAAAGGTTTGAAGAATTGACAAGCATATTGTCATACTTTGAAGACAGTCCTGGATACTCACATTGGATGACTATGCCAGACATGGGGCATCTTGTTGCATCGTGCTACAATCTTGTGTTATACCACTTGTCATTACAGCAATGTCTCACCTTTTTACCTCTTAGAATAGTGCCAGTACCTCAACTTGATAGACGTGAGATTCCCATTGGGTTTGTCAACGGAAATCATTTCGTCCAGGCATAACAGAAACTTATAAATTTATGCATGTACAAGAAGTTATGAGGTATGACCACTAACTCAATTGATATTTGGTGCAGGTTTTGTTGCAGCCAGGCCATCCAGTTCCTTATATAGCCACTAATTGGCGAAAATACCGTCACCCTTACGCTGTCGACTGGGATGATGCATATGTGCGTCGCATTCAACATTTCAAGGACATTATTCATGATAATGTAGCTACTCGAGAGACATTTGATGTTGTTGATGTCGCATGACACATGTATGCATTTGACAATGTTAGAATTATGGAAGAAATTAATGGATGTGTTTTTGATGTTGATGTGTTTTGTGGCATGGATTGAATGTTATCGACCATTGTTACCATTCCATTGTAATAAAAAAATATCATTTACAAAATCAACGACCATTGTTACCATTCCATTCTAATAATAAAATGTCATTTTCAATGGTATCAACCATTGTTGACATTCCATTCTAATAAGAAAATATTAACCACTGTTACCATTACAATAATATCATCTTACAAAAAACACCACAAAAAATTCATCAACTAACAAATAACATGTCACAAATCAGCTGTATGCCTACGCCTAGGCCTACGACTATATGTCAATGTCGGAGATGGAAAACGACCTCTAGTATAACTAGGTCCAGCAGAACTAGGTCCAGCTTCGTCAATGTGCTGACCTTGAAAGACATGCGTCATACTCTCGATAGCCTAGTAAAGTCGATGAGGATGTCGAATCCCCTCCTCATAACCAGCGTCAATAATAGGACGTGAAATCTGTAGTGCATGTGCAATGCGCTGCATTTGAAAAGAATATCACATTTTAGGGAACATATCAGAAAATAAAAGTAAGTTACAAATGCATAAAAGAGGATAATATATTACATCGGCATGTTGGCTGAAATCCTGATGGTCATGGGCACGCGGTTCATCAGTGTGCTCAACATATAGGTGCGTGATATTCTTATACCAATCCATGTAACCCGGTACACATTCCCAAGGCTGACGAACTAGTGTGCTCCTCCGTTGCTCAGATAACACGTGGTTATCCTAAACCTCCCAGATCCTATCCAAGTATCTATACATGACTGTATATCGTGCAGATATGTTGCCTCGAGCACCACGATTGGGAGCTACCGGTGCATCTGGGATGGTTTGAACCCTGCCAAACTGCCTCAGAACTCTATCTGGATGATAGGGTTTGACAACGTCTAAGCACTTTAAGCATCCATGGTAGAATGTAACCGGGTTACATGGATGTCGGTCTCTGCAGCTGTGGTATGGATCCCAAATAACCTGTAAACGTAAAGTGTTTTGAGTTAAAGTATATAAAGGGTAAGATAAATAGAAAGTGTTAAAATTATCTCAGGACGAGTAAACTTACATCAGTAGCTACCAAACTGTCAAGCTCGGCTCGAAAAGATTTCAAATGATCAATGGAGGAACCCACCTCTCTCCTAGATGCCCAATGGTACACGTGTGGCATGTCTTCATTGTAGCCCATGTTCTGGTGAGGTCGGAATGCTCGGAAATGCTCATAAATCCACGCTTCCAAAAGAGTCATATAACCACCCATCTGCTTAACCCCGAACCAGCTAGCATACCCCAACTGTCTATATAAAAATGCTAATACAGCAACACCCCAAGCGTAAATATGAATGGATCCCAAATCCATCAATAAGCCAAGGTAAACAACAGGAACCCTGCCACCACTCTTGTCACTGAAGAGTGCACATCCCAACAGAAACAACAAATAAGCTCTAGCAGCGCACTGTATAGCCTCCTCGGGGTCTGAATCTGTGACACCAGCAAACTGACTTCACAACCACTCAAGCCTGACTGAATTGCCACCAGCAGTAGAAACCTCTTCATGTGCTACACGTTCAGTAATCCCCAAGCCATAAACCAGTAGTGTAACTCCATGATGATTTGTTACATCTGGTACGCTGACTGATTTGCCTACAATGGAAAGGCCAAGAATAGTGCCAACATCATCCAAGGTCAAGGTCATCTCACCAACTGTCATGTGAAATGTGTTCGTCTTAGGTTGCCATCTCTCAACAAAACTGTAGATTAGAAGCTTGTTGACGAACTGATAAGTGCAACGAGCTAACTATGACAGCCCAGACTGCTCAATAATGGCTTCGAATCTGGTGTTGTTGTCTACTGACCACCATAACCATGCAAGGATCTTCAAAGAGTGATTATGACACTTTAGGGGCCCTCGTTCCTATAACACAAATAATATCTCATTAGAAACTACCATACAACACACACAGGAAAAAAAAAATTCATATACAAATGAATTTCACTTCTACTCAGAAATGTTTACCTCCCCGTGCCAAACAGCTGCAGCGACATGACTATTGAAACTCCGCAGTATTGATGGATCAGTCGGTCCACCTGGAAAAGTATGAGTAAAGTCCTCTTCCTGGATAGGAGGAGAATCAGGTAAAGAGGCATCCTTCATAGCAATGTCAGGCATATCATAACCTTGAACTCATCTTTGGCTTCAGCTCCGACTTTGACTGGCACTAGGGATATCATATTCTACCGAAACTGGATCACGACCTCGACCACGACCTTGACCTCGTCCTTGCCTATGCCCTCATCCCCGTTCATGGTCTACATCCAATTCACGACGTCGTCTATTTGAAGCAGTAGGTGGGACACGTTGTTGACATTCAGAATCCATATTATCTGCAAAAAATAATATGTTTAATGACCATACAATTGAAACAAGGGAGCTTCTATTTGCACACACCCATTTCCCTCTTTACACATCTTTTTCAATAAATAATTGGTTCGGAAGTAGAATTCCGAAAATAAACAATTGGTTTGGAAGTAGCATTTTGAAAATAAACAACTTGTTCGGAAGTAGAGTTTAGAACTTTTTTTATTTTTTTGACATTCAACTTTCGAATGTGTTTATTTAATGTCTATAATAGTAATTTCACTTGAAAATAAAATTATAATAAAAATAATTTTTATTAAGTGTGTGTAAAGAGGGGAATGGGGATGTGGAAATAGAAGCTCCCTTCAAACAAGAATATACAAAAGAAAGGGGGAAAAAAGACCTATTCGGAAGTTGAAATCCGAAACACAAACTTAATTTCGAAAGTTGAGTGTTGTCCAAATTCAAAATTTTCAGAAGTTGACTATCGAAACAATGAAAATTTTTTAGAAATCTACTGTTGAAATTAATGATTATTTTCGGATTTCTACGTCTGAACAAATTGTTACCTTTTGGAAAACCAGTTCCGAACAACTTGTTCGTTTTGAAAATGGTTAATACAACTGTACATTACAAATAAAAAAATAATCATTAATTTCAACAGAACATGGGGTATGCTAGCCGTTGGGAGCTATTTGGCAAATGAAAAAATTAAAGATTGGTGAAAAAAGTTACCCCAAGTGTGTGAAGCAGGGAGCTATTTGCACCGTTGGGAGAGCAATGTGAGAGATGCAGCACAGCTTCAATGGGTGTATTTGCACCGTTGGGAGAGCAATGTGAGAGATGCAGCTTCAATGGGTGTTCACCGTCAGGAGAACTGGGTTTGAGGGTCTAGGGTGTGTGTGTGTGTGTGTGTGAGGGTAGATGTGGAATCAAATGTGTGTGCAGTGAGTAAAATAATTAGGAATTAATTTTTTTGGTGTGTGTAGTGAGAAGGATGTGCAAAGAGGGGATTTGGTGTGTGTAAGTAGAAGCTCCCGGAGATTAATCAAGTTCTTGGTGGATGACATAGCTCTCGTGTGGCTGTGGTGTTAGTTTTCTTGCCAGAACCGTAAAATCGAATCAAAAGGTAAAGACCCAACTCACTGATCTCATCACTGATTCTGAATTCTACCATTTTTCTTCCATTTCCATTTTCCTTGGTATGATTTGATTTGCATAATATGTTTTTTCTATGAGAAATCTTGTCATTGTTTGTATATTTTGTTAAATTGGATTACTTGTTGGCTATGTTTTTCCTATGCTAATTCATGGAATGAAGTGAAGTATCCAAAGTGACCAAATGTTTGGGATTTGGGCATTTTTGGATACTGGAATAACTTGTAATTTGGGGGCTCGATGTATATATGCATATATACTAGTGATTGGTGCAAATGCTATGCGATTATAATTTTAAATTTAACTTTTTAGACAGATGAATATGGTAAATTGATTTGCAATTTTGGGCAGTTTGATGAATGAAAAAAACCATTTAGTAGTTATTGAATGTGGCAATTATTAAATGTGAAGGGCATTCTTTTTTTTCTTTTTCTTAAAAAAAGCGACAATGTTCACACAGAGATGTGTTTCTATGAAGGTAGAATTCTTCATATTGCTATAATTTCTAGTAATGTTTCTTATGAACTGGGATATTTTCATCTAACATTTACTTATGATTACAAGAATTGAACTGGGTGTTATTTGATTGGTGAAAATTCAGATATTGTATTGGAAATCTTGGTAGTGATTGGACGTCAATGTCATGACATTAGGTGATCTACCTAAATCTGTTTTCTCTATTATACTCTATCAAGGTCCATATGCTCACTTAAATTAAATAAATTCTGATCCTTATTTACTACACTATCCCATGTTAACGTAGGTCTTTCCCTCCTCCCTAGCGTTTCCATTAACTGTGATCCTATCAAACATCCTCGTTGTTGCCTCTATCGGTCTTCATTATACACAACAAAACCATTATAATTTGTTCCCTCTCAACTTATGTTCAGTTGGTGCTACTTTTACCATTTCACAAACAAATTTATTTCTGATTCTACCTTTCATGATCTTGCCACACATTCACCTCAACATTTTCATCTCAGTTACATTCATTTTACTTATGTGTTATTTCTTAGTTTGTTAACATTTGTCTCATGATGCATTGCTAACCTTATAACTGCTCTATAATTTTTTTTTTCAATTATGTTGGTATACGTCGATCACATAATATGTCAGAAATATTCCTCCACTCTAACCAACCCACTTTAGTTTATGGGCCACATCATCTCCAATCTCTCAATCCTTATTAATAATTGAATCTAGATAATGAAATTGTTCACTCTTAAGTATCCCTTGGTTTTCAATTTTCACTTTTCCTCATTATTAGAAATCAAAGATAATAAATTATCTCAAAAGTGTTAATTTCTTAACCAGCTCAACTGTAAAATTTTTCATTGTTCTATTGTTTGTCGTCAAATGTTCTTATTTTTATTTTTATTTTGCATAGTTTGTTCTTATACTTATTTTTGTTACCTTGTTGGCTCAACCACTTACATATTTCGTGTCCTATTCTTTCTTGTAGTTTATTATCTATTTTCCTAAGATTGCACTAGAAACTGTAAGATTTCTTTACGGGGTGAAAGGACAAAACAAACAGACCTAAACACACAAATGAAGGAGTAATTGGAAAATTGAGAAAACAGAGCCTCGTAAGGAGATCGACCAGAGAGAAGGAGAGTAGGCATACAGTTGAGAAGAAAAGCAGCAATAAGAACTGTTTCACCCCAAGATGAGAGGCAGAGAGAAGGAGAAACTTAATTGTCTCAAGGAGATGACGGTATTTACGCTCAGCTTGATCATTTTGGACAGGTGTATCAGTACAAGAAGTTTGGTGAATGGTACCCAAATTGCCAAATATTCACAGAACTTAGTTTTAAAATATTCTCCACCCAAGTCAGACTGTAACAATTTAATAGTAGACCCAAACTGTAGTGACCATAAACTGAAAAGCATGGTATATATGGTAGAAGGAAGACTTATGAGTCATAAGGTAAATCCAAGTATAACAGGTGCAGTCATCAACAAATGAAATATAGTATGCGGGACCCCCTTTATTGAGAATGGGAGAAGGACCTCAAACATAAGTATGAACTAAAGAAAACGGCGTATCAAATATAAAAGTACTTTTACGAAAAGGTAAGGTTGTCATTTTGGTAAGTTTATACCCCTGACACTTGGTAAGTTGAGTAGGAAAAACTTTACCCAATATACTTGACTGAGCTAAAGACCGTAAGCGGTCAGCAAACAAATGCTCTAATCTGGAATGCTACAAATAGAAAGGACTTGATAGAGAATCTAACTGAAAGAAGAAAAGGCAGTCGAAGAGGTAGTCATAGGTAAATGTAGGCTCTCCACCACATAGAGGTCACCAACTTTATGACCAGTCTCAATCTGCTGCTTGGACATTCGATCCTGCATAGAACAGATAGAAGAAGAAAAGATAACATTAAAACTGGAGGCATTAAGCTGACTGATAGATAATAAATTGACAAATAATTGAGGAACATATAAGACAGATGGAAAGAGACATCATACATAGTAGACGGTGACCCAACAGATATAACAAACATACCAGACCCATTAGCAACATTAACAGTGATAGGAAAGGGAGGGGGAGTACAATTTTGAAGTAAGGAGAGATGGGCAGTCATATGATGAGAGGAACCAGAGTAAAAAATTTAGATAAACGAAGAAATACCTGAAGAAGACCCAAGCAAATTTGAATAAGTAGGGGAAACAACGGAGGCAGACGAGAATGGTTGAAAGGTAGACAGTATATGCTAAAGCTGACCAATCTAAGCACTCAAGGAAGGTAAGTCAAGATCAAGAGCCGAAACAGGAGCAATATAAGTGGTGGGAGGGCGAAGAGTACTCTGAAGAGGAGCACGGAACTGAGTCTGAGATTGCGGAGAAGACGAGATAGGCAGACGTCATTTCTTGGGATAGTGATATTTTCAATGGCTTCTCTGATGGCAGTAAGCACACTCATCTGAAGCCAGTAGCCTATTTTTGGGCCTAGTCATTTTATCATCTGTCATTGTAATGAACTAGCAAGAACAATAAAAAAAATCAAAGAAAGGAGAGCCAATACGCAAATAGGAATATCCACTGGGGTCAAAGAATAATAAGCACTAAATTACCAAGTGAATAACACCTCAGATAAGGAACCAGATGATAATACCTTATATGGGTCAAATATCCAAACCTAGTTCAGAAAGATGATCTTCGCGATGTGAAGTTGAGCCAGAAAGACGATAATGAATCAAAGCGAGAGAGTGACCAACTAGACGAAGCCCTCACACACAGTCGTGATCCACGACTTACAATCCATGAACCAGAGAGGGTTATGGTGTAGCAAAGACCACCTACGAATCAGCGTCGCAAATCACATGACTAGATGGGTCGATTGAACGAAACAACAGATGGGTTGACTTAGATGACCAAATGGGTCGACTCAGACAGATGACCAAACAAGCCAAACCTAATCTCGAATCAGACCAACAAGAGAACCACAATCGGTGGATTGTGATTCGAACTCAGATAGGTCGCACGAATCTAGAAAGCTAAACCAGAGAAGAATCGACCTTGGTTGCTAGGATTTTGAACATAGCTTTGATACCATGTAAGATTTTTGAATGACTTTTGTATATTCAATTGTGTTTCTAATACAAGAGTACATCGGTTTAGATAACAAGCTAACCCTAAGACTGAAA